GCCCATCCCCGCCCTTGAACTTTGCCCCCATCTTAGGCGTTTGATTCTGCCTTTTCCTTCTTTTCTGGCTTTGCCCCATCTTGGTGACCAAAATCGTATGCTCGAGGCCAGAAAAACAACGTGATGCCCGCTTACCATTAGTTGGGACATCCAACATTGCACTTTTCACATAATATGCTGAAAACAGAATGGGTTCCCCCTCCCCAAACCTGCTCCCATCCTGTTCTTCCCCAGCTCAGTCAATAGCACCTCCATCCTTCTGGTAGCTAAGGCTAGAAACCTGGAAGTCATCCTCGACCTCTCCTTCCCTCACCCCCATGTCCCATCAGCCAGAAAATCCTGGTCACTCTACCTTCAAAACACATCCAGAATCGACTACTTCTCGCACCTCCACGGTCACCCTGGTCTGACCCTCCATTTCCTCTGGACGACTGCAGTCACCTTCTCCGTGGTCTCCTGCCTCCGTGCGGTCCCTAAATCCATGCCCCACAAACAGCCAGAGGGATCCTATTAAAATGTAAAGTCAAGGTCACTGTACAATTCTTGATCAGAACTGCCCAACAGAACTTCCTGCAGTGGTGCAAATGTTCTCTATCTGCTCTGTCCAACTCATTATCCACCAGCCACAAGTGACTATTGAACACTTGAAACGTGTTTAGTATAACTGAAGGACTGAATTTTTAATCTTTCTTACTTTAGTAGCCACACTCTGAGGGCAAGGCTGTGAGAAACAAGCACTCTTGAACACAGCTGGTGGGAGTATAAATTAGTATATGATTCCAACTGCAATATCTACCTACCTACTGATAGGTTTGTCTATCTCTACCAAAATGACAAAGGCGTTTAACATTTGTCACAGCAATCCCACTTCAAGAGTGTGTCCTACTGATCTACCTTTACATGCAGAATGACATTATATAAAAGGTTTATAACATCACAAAATAGGAAACAGCCCAAGTTTCTGTCCATCAATAGGCAACTAGTTAAATGAATTATGGTCCAGCCACACAGTAGAATACGATAAAGTTGTAAAAAAGAATGAGGACCTAGGACACCTAAAGCACAAACCAAGAAAAAATAGATAAATTGGAACTTCATCAAAAGTAAAAACATTTTTGCATATTAAAGGACACTATTAGAAAGTGAAAATAAAAAAAAGAAAGTCAGGGCTGGCTGAGTGGCTCAGTTGGTTA